AATGTGTTATTATATTGTAAGGTTAATTTTAAAGCCCTCGCTTGATACAGCGTTTAGGATACTGTTTTCAAATTCTCCTGAAATTTATAACGGCACAAGGACTATTTTTTGAATTAAAAACATTTCTGTAAACCTCACTAATTTCTGAGTTAATACGTTGAGTGAAATTTTTAGTAATTTGTTTTGATTAATGTTACATTGCATTCAGCACGTCGTTAAATCTCGTTCATCATTAATTTAGTCAGTCTGTGCAGGGAAATGCCACGCCGCAAGTTAACCTAAAATTCAGGGTTTCTTTTTTTCTAAAATGCAAATACTCATACCATACAGCCTGAATTGCAGGAAATAGTGCAAGCAGGGAACAATAAGCGACAACAAGAATATCATTTATTCAGCTGACTGGAAAATAAATCTGAGCTGACAGCAACAAGTGTTTAATCACCACAAAATGTGCGTGAGATCTACTAAATAGGGGAAACCTGACTGCCTGGCTATTTGTCAAATCTAACGAGGATAGTGTAAGACAAGCGTGAACGGTGAAGGAATTATTGTACATCATAAATTATTTTTCCGTTTACCTTTTGTTCCGTTTAACTTTAAACATATCACTGGAAATTTAGGTAAACTAAATGCCCTTACCGTCTTTCCTAATTATACTTCTTTTTCTACCATTTTCAATCTTGAGACATGTTAAAAGTAATAATTCGTAAAGTATAATGTACCTAGTGCAAATAATTGCAAAAAAAACTTAAAAAGGGAAATCGATAAGTGAAAATAATATTATGTCATCGCAAATAAAAATAGCAAAAAGGTTGACAGCGGTGGGATTCGAACCCACGCCCTTTCGGACTGGTGCCTAAAACCAGCGCCTTAGACCGCTCGGCCACGCTGCCGTTGGCGCTAATGTTTCGAAATTGGAGTTTTAAAGATTTAATAGATTAATTTTTTTTAATTTCATTTGTAAATTCTTTTAAAAAGTATCAAAATATTTATTTACCAAAAATATAATTTTCATAGATTTAAATTTTATATTTTCTTGTAGTAAATAGCATTATACCGACTATTATGAATTAGTAACCATTATAACCATTATCCATTCATAAATAATTTAGCTTAAAGAATTTTTATATTATAATAAATTAATTATATAGACCAACTAGACCAACCTAGAAAGTCAAAGAATCTTTACTTTAAAACAATTTAATCACCTATATATGTATATATAAATTAAATAAACCGATAAATTCTTAACTAATAAAATTGAAATTATTTGTTTTAAAGTCACTTTTCTTCTTCACGTGCCCTGTCCGTTGCGAACGTTGGCTAGGCAATTCTGATCTTGTTTGCGGCGCTTCTGAATAGTTCGACCGATGTGAGCCCGAGCCACTTCCGCAGATTTTGGAGCTACGAGTGTCTTGTCCTGCCTGGCCCTCGCTTACTGTCTATTTTCCCCTGGACAATCAATTGTAGTAGACTGTACTTATCAATATGTGGCCTAGATATTCAAGCTTTCTTTGTTTAATTGTGCTCACGATTTCTTTCTCCTTTCCGATTCTTTGGATTACCTCTATGTTGGTGACATGTTAGGTCCAGAATATACGAAGAATGCGTCGATACACCCACATTTCGAATGCTTCTAGTTTTGTGGGGAAGAGACAAATCCTTGCTTATGAGGAGCTTTTTCATATTGTTAAATGCTGCTCTAGCTCGTTTTATTCTCGCCTTAATTTCTGTGACCTGTTCCCATTTTGCATTTACGTTGGTGCCAAGGTACACATAAGATTTTACATGGTAAATTAGTATATTACCTATCCGTAATTGTCGATCAGGTTGTTGCTTTTTGCTTATTAGCATCCACTTTGTCTTCTTGAGGTTAAGGCTCAGGCCGTATTCCTCACTAACTGAATAAACTCTTTCCATTGCCTGTTCTAATTCGTCTATGGTACTGGCAAGGATCACCGTGTCGTCTGCATGCACTTTTATTTCGGTTTCTGGGTTAGTGAGTTTCTTAATATCAATTGTGTTTAAATTAGATCTTTTCTCGAGCCTTTTTACTCTCATGGTCATTCTGCATACCAACAGATTGTGGTCCGTAGGAACATCGGCACCAGGGTACGTTTTTGATGATTTTATCATGTTTTTATATCTTGTTGGTACTGCTATATAATCTATCTGATTCCTTAAGATGTTGTCAGGTGAGTCAGCGGGGGATTTCCATGTGTAAAGTCGACGTTTGGGGAGCTTGAAGAGTAGTATTACTTAACAGCAGGTTATATTCTGGCAGAAGCATACAAGTCTATCACCTCTATCGTTTCTCTCCCCTAGGCCGAAGTTTCCCAGGATGTCATTCACCTTGCCTCTTCCAACCTTTGCATTGAAATCTCCCATCACTATTGTTACTTCATGTTGTTTGTCATTTTCATCAGGCTTTCTAGTTGTTCGTCGAATTCTTCGCTGGTTGCCTCATCTTTATCTGCCGTTGGCGCGTATACCTGTAATATGTTAATATCCACCGGTGTTGCTCGAATTTGTAAAAGCATTATTCTATCTGAATGGGGAGTGAAAGATGTTACTGCCGAATTAATATGTGGGGCAATTATTATTGCGGTGCCATTTCTGTGATGTGTTGTGTTGTTTCCAGCATAATAAACTTTATATCCAAGTATATCGCATTGTCAGTGTGTTTAACTAATTCCCAATATATAAATTTTTAATCTTCTCATCTCTTTTACAATGTTATGAGTTTTTCCGTACATACTTCGTACATTTCAAGTTCCAATTCGTAGGTGTTGAGGACTTGCTTCCTTTTTTAGGCCGTAGGGATTTCGCTGGCTGACGACCTGGGAGGCCCTAATATTTGGTTATGTGCATCCTTCCCTGCCGGGTCTTGAGATCGATCACCGTGATCAGTAATGTTTTTGTTATCGTAGTGTATTGCCATGATAACTATTCTAGGAAATTCTTATGGGGTGGTTTTCCGTTGCCTTCCCATCGCAGTACCATAACCATTCAAGCAGTCATGCTTGTGATAGTCCAGTTTCAAGCCGATCCAGGATCATTTCCTCTGCGCCTTGAGCTGGTACTGATGATCGCTGTTGCTCTTCATCAGGAAGGGGATTAGTATACAAAATTTCACTGTACAAGGAATAATGTTTAAATTATTTTTATTTATTTATGCTTTTTTGGTATTCAGTGCCTTATACAAGCTCCAATTCGCGTGGGCATGCTCCTAAACAACTTGTAAATATTTTATTGTGGTATGTGGTTTCCTTTCTTCAAGAGCAATCTTGTACTAGCTGTATGCGTATTTTTAAACATATCCCACAAATTCTCTATAGGGTTAAGGTCGGGTGAGCAAGCAAGTTATTACAGAATAGCGATATCTTCTGCTTCAAGGAAGTCTGTAGTGACTCTGGTGGTATGTGGAGGTGCATTATCATGCATGAAAATTAATTTTTTCCACTGTACTATTTCAGAGTCTAACTAGAGATCCTAGAACCAAGTCAGCATAACTTCGAGCCATTAAAGCTGGTTGAATGGAAATTAAAGAAGTTTTATCACCGACCATATTACTTTCCCAGAACATAACAGTTCCTTCTTTAAATATGTGAACAAATCTGCCTGTTTCCGTTCTTATTTGTCTTTCTAGCCGTTTAAGTACACGAATTCATCGGATCCTGGTTTCGTTTGAAATAGCACATTTTGCCAATTTCCATTGTTCCAGTTTCGGTATTGAAGACACCAGTTTAGGCGATCAATCTTGTGCTGCCTGGTTAACTCGGAAATCCGTAACTGTCTACTGTTGTATAGTCCTTGCGGACGAAGTCTTCTTCTTATCTTTTCTACTGAAACACTTACACCTGTACCTTCCAAAAGCTGCTTTTGGAGTTGCGGATGAAAAATTGTTGGGTATCTTCTAGCTACTTGAGCTATTTTTCTATTCTTTCTATTCTGTTCTATTATTCTTCTTCTACTTCAAGTGCCATCTCCGCGGCGAATGTCGGCAATCATCATAGCTATTCGGACTTTGAGAAAAGTTTATTTGTTGTACATATGTACCATTCTCTCAGGTTGCGCAGCCATGACATTTTACGCCTCCCTATGCTTCTTTTTCCTTGGATCTTTCCCTGCATAATCAGTTGGAGCATTCTATTCTATATTCTATTCTTAAACATTCCTAACTCCTGATACCCAGCATAGGTTTTTGACACAACGCCCTGTGTTACGACTACCACAAGATCAATAATCTTTCCCTTTGCACATCCGTTAACCACACATAAGGCATATTTTCTTTTTTGAAAGGGAAAGTTGGTTTATTTATTTTAACCTTAATAAAAACCTTTATACTTTTCAACAATAACAAGTTTTTTCAAAAGAATACTAGTTTGAAATACATGGTGGTTCCATATAAGTTTGTTTTTTCCTTTGTCTCATTATTTATTTCCATTAATGACAACCAAGTAAAAAGATGATCAATAAATATATATCTTACCTTGCGAAAACGCGTACTGAGCGCTTATCGTTTTCCTGACAAGCCTTCCATTTGGGGCAAAGTTTTGTACGTTTTTAAATGAAAAAACTTCTCCTCATCAACATAATTCAAAAAATATTGATTTTCGTTTTTCCGTTGTACTTTATTGATTGCGAACACACCTGAGTTTTTAATATAATTCTTTAATTTGATTTTGAAGCCATTGTTTCGTGTAATCATATAACTCAAGAATAAAGATGGGAAGGTGATAAATAGCCAGTGGCGCAGATGCACTGAATATCCGCTACAACATACAGAGACTCTCATCCTTTACTGCACCAGTAACTCCTTCCCCATTATAACTAACTATAGCCTGTATTTATTCAGAAAAAAATAGATAGTATAAGAGGAAAAGAAATAGTTTGTAACAGCATTAAATCATTTTAAATCGAGTCAATTCTACTAAAAAATAAACATTGCTTGGGTTAGTGTTCAAAATACTTGATTAACGTGATGATATTTGTTTCAGATATGGGCAACTCTCGAAACGACTCCATTAGGTTTGAAGCAGGAGACTTGGTACCTACAACGGGATCTCTATACGTTGCTGCAGCTTGTTCCCTTGCACTGATTACTTTGTCGGTCATTGTGGTTTCAGCTGTTTGCGTTAAACGAAAAAGTAGAAACCAAGAACCAACGTAAGTTGATCTTATATGTAATAAAATAAAAATATTCATGTCAGAAACCGTTTAAATATATTAACTTTATAACATATTAGTTGTTAATCTTGTTATTATTTAGCCACTTTTGTGTAGTTGTTCCCTTCCCCTCTGAGCACCGAGTCATTTGCCGACCTTCCGTTTGCCATTCTTGCAAGATGATCTGACCATCTAAGTCTCTATATATCTGACTTATTTAGACTATATGGTAAATTTCTGGTTTCCATACTCCTCCAAACGACTTCGTAGTCTTTTACTACCCGGATATCTTTCGTAAAACACTCAGTTCCAGATATTCAGCATATTTTTTTCAGAATCTATGTTTCGCTTCCGTATAGGACAAAATTGCCTCTCTTTAGCTGTTTTTTCTCTTAGTAGATTGTGTAGAGCTCCGACTTGTGCAAACGGTATCACCTTTTTGGAGCAATACTCTTTACTCTCCTTGGTTTGTGGTAGTCTTCAGTTATGTGTCTTCATATGTGGTCTGCCCTATTTCCATATACTTTGTTTTTTGCTCACTAATATTCAGTTCATACTGTGTAGCCTTCGCTTTAAAGAGTTTGAAATTCCTCAGCAGTTCCCCTTTAGTTCTTATCATACATCGTCCGCAAAGACCAGGATCTGGATTAAGTGTCATAAAATGTAATGGTATTTAGTTACGAATTTTTACTGCTGAGCAAAATACTCTTCCCGTATCTATGACCAATTCCGTATATGCTTGATCTACGCAAATGATCTACGTAAGATTATTTACGTATGAGATATGCCTTGATCTCTTTCTTTTAATTTTGCATCGGACAACTTGGAATTTTGAATAAATATATTTAAAGCATTCTCCGTTTTTGTCAATAGCTTTAGCAAACTGTTTCATCAAACCTAATTTTATATGCAGAGGGGGCAATAAATTTCTTTCACGATCAACTAAGGCATTGTGTTTATGTTTTTACTTCCTGGTGTAAGGTTTTCTCTTGTAGGCCATTCTTTTTGGGTCCAATGTTTATCTCGTGCTCGATTGTCCCATTCACAAATGAAGCAAGGATATTTAGTATAACCTGACTGTTGCCCAAGTAGCATACACAGAACTTTTAGATCTCCACAAAGTATCCAGTTATGGTCTCGGTATTTAATTTTTCCTAAGAGAAGTTCGAAGTTTTCATATGTTTCTTTAAGGTGAACAAAATGAGTGACCGGAACAGAAACCATTGTGCAGTAAAAACACCTTTTAGACTACTTTTGCTAGAGTCATTAAATAGTCGTCATTCTTCCTTTTCATAAGAGTCAGCTCCTAGCTTCATTACTAAGTCGGAGAGAGATATTGTTACAATATACTAAAGAATCTTCTTGAGTAAAATATGGACTCAGGTCCTTTTCTCGATTGCTGTAGAAAACTGGTTGATGTACCTGGGCCAGCAAATTTTCAGCTAATTTCAGATTAAATCCCAGAATTCATTTTTTTTTAATTTAATTCTTTATCCATAAATTTAGTATAAAAAATATTTAACTTTTGAATTTGTGATTTTATAATGTCTTCAATGTGGCTCTTATGAATCTACAAGTAACAGTGCTTTAGGATACTAAATGGAGTTTTAAATGGTTGGTTTACGCCGCCTTCAGCAACACACACAGCATAAAAGAACTCTAAAAACTAAAAGAAAATATAAGATTGCGGAAAATCGATGATCGGGAAAAGCGACTGTATGCTATAAACTAACATTTGGATTTTCAATGCCGCTTGGATTGTCCTTATGCTGAAGCTATATTTAATGACCAGTTCCTGGAATAGGCCAGGAAGATATCGCTTAAGGAATTAAATACATTAAAGTGAAAAGTATTTATATTTGAAAGTTTACTAATATACTAAGTTGGGAGTAGCCAATTTTGCCACAAAAAAAATTAAAAAAAGGATAAAAATTAAAAACTTTAAAACATGGTCTATTCTCTACTCTCTCTACTCTCTACTCTACTCAGGATTCTACTCATTCAGGTATACAAGAACATATATACACAGTATCAGATCTAATCAATTTTTATATTAAAAAAATAAATTTTAACTGGCAAGACAGATGGAAAATATTGGCGAATACTTCAAATAATCATTATTACGATCAAGATCCATCCTACGTTACCATCCCTAACAGAATTACCACACATATTCCATTAAAGTATATCTAATCGATCAGCAGCAACTATCACAAGATTAAAAACTAGTCACGGTGCTGTTCTTGCTCACCTGGCTAGATTAAACATTATAGAATCAGGAAAGTGTTCAGCTAGATTAAACATTATAGAATCAGTAGATCTACGTTTTATGAAAACCTGGTACAATGAGGTATTGGATAAAACAGAAAACATAGCATACCTAGGATGCAACATCACAGACAGCTGGGATCACTCATACGAGATTAAATGTAGGATCCAACAAGCAAGGAGTGCCTTCCAACAAATGAAGAAAGTTCTTTGCAATTTAACCTTGAACTTACACCTCCAACTCAAAATCCTTAATTGTTATGTGTTTTCTGTTTTAATGTATGAAGCAGAGGCATGGACACTCACTGATGCGTCTTGCAGACGGTTGCAGTCTTTCGAGATGTGGTGCTATCGTCGCATGCTCAGAATATCATATGTGCATCATATACATAAATAACGACACAGTAATGCAACGTTTACAAAAATAACGTGAAGTCTTGAAATTCATTAAAGAGAGGAAGTAAGCATACTTCGGACATATAGTGAGAAATGAAAATAAATACAGAATCCTACTACTGATATTAGAAAGGAAAATAGAAGGAAATAGAGGACCAGCACGCCGCCGAATATCCTGGTTTAAGAATTTGAAACAGTGGACAGGTATGACCACCGCAGACCGATTTCGAACAGCTGCTAATAAAATACGATGTGCCATTGTGGTAACCAACATCCAGAGAGGATTGGCACTAGCAGAAGAAGAAGTGCTTATTGCTAAAATATTTATTATAACTCGATGCTTTAGCATATGGTTCGTCACACTGGAGCCTACAAATTTTTTGAGTTCATCCGCCCATCGCATTTGTGGTCTCTTCTTTGTGATCCTCTCCTGTTTTCCCAACGTCTCTTTTTATGTTAGTGTTTCCCTTCTGACTTCTCTTACAATTCGCTTATTTATGACTAAAAGATATATGTCAACTGCATTTTTTAAAGTACCTCGGTCGGAATGGAAAAAGTGCTTTAAACATCCATGTACAAAAGAATATTGAACTTTTCGAGCCGTATTGTGAAATACCATAAATCCACTTTTCATAAAAAAAGTTTTTTTTATTTGTCTGTCTACGTCAAACACTAAACGACAAATTTTTACCTCGATTGCCAAATGTTTACACAAATAAAGGATCGAATTGTATAATAAAATTAGGAACCTCTCCATCTTCTTCTTCAGATGCAAATCCACTAATGGATGTTAGCGATCACATTTTCCATTAATTCTCTATTTCTTGCAATATGTATCAGAGATTGTATGTCGTTAATCCCTGTCCATTGCCTTATGTTTCGGAGCCAGGACATTTTCTTGCGTCCCATTCCTATCTTGCCTTCAATTTTACCCTCGATTATAAGTTGGAGGAACTGGTATTTTTCATTTCGCATGATGTGACATAGATACGCCGTTTTCCTTTTCTTGATGGTTTCAAAAAGTTGGCGTTCTTGGTTTATTCTTTTAAGGACATATATCCCTCGTTTTGAGTGTCCAGCCCTCTACGCCATATAGCAGCACTGACCATACGTAACACTTAGTAAACCTTAGTCTCAGTTGAAGATCGAACTCTGAACAAGTCAGTACCTTCTTGAATTTTACGAAAGCTTGTCGAGCTTGCTCAATGCGACATTTTACTTCCCTGTCCGATGCCCAGTCTTCAAAAAGCCACGATCCCAGGTATTTAAATTTACTCACTCTTTCTTATGGATTTACTATTCAGTGTTTTGGTGGAGTTTTCAAGTGCATCCAAGTTTCTGGAGATGATCATGAATTTGGTCTTTTTGGTATTAATCTCTAGTCCCATTCGCTCCTCTCCATCAGGCCTTCTATATACCGCATATGCGGATTTGGCCCTTAAGGCAGATTAAGTGTACTGATCTTTTCGCGAACTCCGAGCATTAAGACCATGTGCGACAAGCATGAGCTTGATGGCCTAGATCCTTCTCGGATGCTCAGCCGGCGAGGAGCACAAAATTTGTTTTGCCAAATCGCCGGCTGAGTGGCCGGGCACACACCCTTTTCCGGACGTAGAGTCGCTAGCTCAGGCCGGCGGCTCTACGGTCGGAACACACGCTCTTTTTCTTTTGTTTATTGACTCAAGTCCCGAAGTCAAGTTAGAGTAACTTTTATAGAGTCAGTAATGTAAATAGGGAGAAAAGCCTACATGTGGCTACCCCTACAGTTAGGTGGCCTAACCACAGTCAATAAGAATAGAGGGTGTCTCATTACCCAGGGCACCTTAAGTAACTTTAGATCATAAGCCTCCTCACGTAAGTCACACGATGAGGAGGGGTGGAAGAAAAGCCTGGGGGTCAGATAGGTACTACTTTAACTAGTGCGGTGTGACCGGTTTGATCTTCGGACATGTCGATCTCACTCTTACAATGGTATACACATGTTCCTTAGGGGCAGGGTTGATCACTGCGTGTGTGTGTAAAAACGTTTCTCCTCAGGTATTTTTAAAAAGAGGCAAATGCGACCGACCATTATAAAAAAAATAACAACAAAAACTTTTTGATTAATACAACGATCACTAGTCTGGGCTATTTTATTATTGTCCTTAATAAAAACCACCTCTTATATATAATACATCGTGATACATTATGTATTTCACTTACATTAGATAGACGCACTGGCCTAACACACTGAATAAGACTACATGATTTATTGATTTTTAGATTTTTCAAGAATTCCTAAATTCGTTAATTTTACAAGATGATATATTACTAAGTTTGTAAATACTAAGAACATTAGCTTATTATACGATATTGAAAACTACGTGCTTTCTTTTTAGCCAATTTTTTTGTAAAGTATAATAATAAAACACTGAAAACTTTGTTTTCAAAACTTCCACAAAATTTATTATAACATTTGATCACTACAGCCGTTTCGGCAGGATGCCTTTCTCAAGTGACTTATTTTTGGAAGTGTTTACAATTTATAGTTTCTAACGAAATAGGTTGAGGAGGGGAGAACTACTTACATCTTCTCGAAATTTGCATAAACCAGGACTACTTTGAATTTCATAATCAAATATATACAAATAAAAGTGCAGGACTTATAATGGGTAATCCTCTAAGTTCATTGCTATCAGATATTTTTATGGATCATCTAGAAACAAAGATTTTGAAACATCCCAACCAGTTTTTATATTGGTGGAGATACGTAGACGACGTACTGGTATGTTTTACACGAACTACCAGACAACTTGATCAATTTTTATCGTATATTAATTATTCACTCATTAACAACGTTTATTTTTTCGTCGGCATTCATTTCTGTCTTTTGGGTCTTCTTCACCTAAACCTTTCTTTCTTAAGTCCTCTGCCACATCATCTTTTCCCCAGTTTTCCTCTGCGTCTTCTTCCACCAACTTACAACTCATTTTGTCCCACTTCTTCTCCT